AAAAACCCAAATTCCCCAAAAAAAAAAAAAAAAAAAAAAAAGGTAGGTTACCTTGTCATAGAAATATGGTAATATTCACCAAAATAAAAAAAGTAGGTGACTTTATCTTAAAGAATATAATAATGTTTAGAAACTAGTTGAGCAGTTGATCCAGGATAAAGGGTTGCCTCCCGTTTTACCAATTTACCCACTCTATACACTAAAAAGAATCAGTTTCATATATTTGCTGGGGACAAAATATAAATGTGCTTTGCCACAAATCTTCGTTAAATGTTTAGCATGTTTGGTCTCATTGCTTGTCATATAGCAAGATTTAAATTTGTTTGGTTGCATCATCAACTCTCTCAACCTCGTTTGTTGAAAAATATTTTCTCAAAACAATATTTTTTGGACAACCAATTGACAACGTTAATCAAAAGGACAAAAGACCCTTGAAATTTTCTTCCCAAGATTTTCATCAAAATATTTAGATGAGATCATAATCAAAGCGAGTGAGATCAAAACTGAAGCCACACGTAGCCCATCCACACACAATGGATGTTTTCTTCATTTATGTGCCCTAAGTTGCCACATTTCCCATTGCAAAGCCATAAACACCAACCGTGAATTAAGCTAAGGTTACAAATCTACATCTCTCAACTATCTTTCGTGTTGTCAAACAATGATTCCACGCGTTTCATCCGAAACCACGCCATTAAGTAATGTCATGTTTTGCTGGTTCATCTCACTTTTTTGTTATTAGTTTTTTTATTATTTTTTTTATCTCGGGTATTTCTTATCCATTATGTCATACATTAATCAGTTAGTGATATTGTGATTGTAGCTTACTTGACAAGTTTTGATGATTTTATTTTTGATTATCATTGAAAAAGACTTTTCAATTATTAAAGTATGTGTGTATTTTATAAATTATTATTTATTATTTTATTTTATTGATGTGAAACTTGTTTATATCTTAACAATTTTTTTCTTAAATAAGAAACATAACTTTTTATATAGCGAAATCTTATTATTATATATTATATTATTTAATAAGAGTTATAATTTATTGGCTGTTACCTGATCTAACTTGTAGCTCTGATATCACTCATAAATTATTTTATATTTATATTTTTGTAAAAAATATAATTTTTATCAAAAAAGCATGATCTAATTTATTTATGAGATCTCTATTTATATAAAAGAAAAATTATCATATAAAATCAAATATTAATATTATCTTATTTTAAAAATAAAAAACAAATTTTAAAATAATCAAAATAAATTAAATTTAAATAATTAAAATATAAATAAAAAATTCTTATAAAAAATAAATTTACTCTACTAAAAATATTTAAACATATTTTTAATATACTTTTTTCAGTTACAACGAAATTTTCTATTAAATAATTTTTTTTATAACAAGTATAAAATGTCTAAACACTTGGTAAAATAAATGTGGGTTGCTGGTCCATGTCAGTTGTGCAGCATTGTGGTACTAGCTGACATTATCCAAAATTAAAGTCCCTTACTATCCTTAATTGTCTTGCTTTATGCAAATGCATGTCACCAGAACATTCTGTGTGCTTACATCGTTTTGCTGTGGCAGAATTTAATAGGATTGGAACCAATTGTGGTACAGTCTGATGGCGAAAACTGTCCCTTCCTTGCATCTTGTTCTAGAATATACTCCTACCAGAATGAATACGACAGTCGTTTTGAAAAGGATTGCTATAGAAATTCTCTAATAGTGATCAAGACTAAAAAGCTACTTCTTTGGACTTTTGCTGCTACCTAAACGGCTCAATTTTTATCTCCAGATTAATGATAATGGAAATGGGTAAAAGAAAAAATCCACACATCCTATACACATTATTGATGAGCAAATTTTTCCTAGAATTATGATTTTTATTTCATTTTTATAATTTTTTCTTTAGTGTAAAGTATCTATCAATTTTATGCATAATTAATTCATGCTAGAGAAACTAGCAGGCCACTTTTAGTGAATTATCCTTTTCAATTTTTTTTTCATTTACAATACTCAGATTTAAGATCTTAATTAAGATAACTGAGTCATATTTAGATCAATGAATTAGAATTATGATATTCGAATCTCATAATTTTATAATTTTTAATAAAAAATCTTATTAGCAATGATCTAAAATAAGTGTAATTAATAGACTTCATATGTCTTGTTTTACATCAAGAAATATTAACAAGATACTTTCTAACACATTCTTACTAATGTATTTCCTAAATTATAAGACTGTGCCAGCCTCATGTCATATTAAATGATTTTATAATTTTTAATAAATTTTAAAAGAAAATAAGTTGGAAATAGGGTATTGTTGGCCTTTCTCCTTTTGCATCTTATCCATGTAAATACTTAAAATATAATGTATGCTGCCGCGTACAATAATACAATGAAATGCTAAAAAATACGTATGCTAGTGAGAAGCAAGTACTCGACATACAATGAATACAGCTGTGTACAGTACACTGAAGTGCTTCATTATACAAAAGAAACCACTACATCAATGTAGTAGTAAAAGATTGGGATAATAAGCAAAATTTTAGACTTTAACATTATTATTGTGTTCATAATTTTTATAAATAAGAAAAAGTCTTGCGAACCAATATTCTTAGAAAACTGGTTAAAGAAAAAGAATTACCAAAATTTTCATTGAAAATTATAATAAAATTATATGAGTGAATTTGTAAATACAATTTTTAATAAAAAACTTTTCATTCTTAATTCTTGAGAGGCATTGGTTAGTATTTTTCTCAACAAAAAAAAAAATGCTTCATTATACGCAACTATGTATGTGAGATTAATTCATATTTGGTTGGTAGTAATCGTAGCATTTATTGGGCATGGCATGTGTCCCAATTATTGTAGATCCACGATCACCATTCACCAACCTTTAAAAATGCCTCATTCTATATAAAATAGAATAGAATGATTGGCCCCTAGTAGTCAGTACCCTAGATTTGTGGAATAAATCATCCCTGTGGCTCTCTTTCTTGTTCATAGGTTATATAATTATTGGCGGTTTGTGGGAATCTCTCAATTTCTAACCGTATGTCAATCATAGGCTCCAATAGAAACAAAATAAATGGCTAAGGGAAAAAGATATTTTTCATCAGAATTTTCTTGTTATTATTAGAAATTATTATTCAGATAATGGTTTTTTCGTGTTCACAAATTCTAGGTGTAGCAATTGGTCGCTCCAAGGTTCAAGTCTATATTATTTATTCTTTTGAAAATTCAATATGATTTTTTAAGCATTAATTTAAGTGGGTGAATTCAAAATATAATGGGTCACCAACAGTCTCTGTATCACAAACAGAATAAATATTTGATCAACGAGTTAAGGTCCATGGCAGAAAAAAGAATTCAAATTCTAATAAGTAATTAATTAGTGTTTATTCAAGAAATCTTTAATAATTTTTTTTTATAAAGGTAGGGTGCAAAAACATCACTATAAGACCAAGATGTTTTAACAATGTTTGCACTGGTAAGCCTACCAATCATGTGCAACACACTCAATATATAATACAAGGAAAAATAGAATAACAAAAATTATAGGGGGACTAGACCAAAATCCATGAAATACTAACAAAAATGAAAAGCAGGCAACCCACATGCATGCTCCGATCGGACGCAACATTCTCCAACACCACAACACTCAACTTCATGAATAATATTTTCGCTAAATCATGGAAATATATCTCCAAAATATTATACAACATCATATTTAAACCTAGAGATAGGATCAATCACCTATATATGAAAATTATATGTATCATTCTACCCTAATCTTATTTTTAACCTAAACTTTCTTTTAATTTGGGTGTCAGAGTTTCTTTGTAAGTGTCCCACTATTGTGAGTATTAAAACAGTCATGACGTTATTCTTGTTATATGAGCGCTTGCAAATTTCGATAATAACACAAATGTCGTTTCTTGAACGAGCTTTATTTGTATTGATGTAAGAAAAGACACTTTGTACCTTTATCTATTTTGTTTAAAAAATAAAAAATAAATAAAAATAATTGAAATTAAATATGTGTTAGTGTTTAACTATTAAAGGTTGTGAAATTTTTTTAGTAGTTATTTAAAGGATGTAAGAAGTTTGAAAAATAAAATTTTTAAAAAATGAAAAAAAAAGAAGAATAAAAAATAAATATAAATAAGTATGAAATAGAAAGAGCTTTTTTAAGTTAAGGGATAAAACAATCAATAAAATCTATATAAAAAAATATATTATTTACATAATATTTGCTTCTTAAACATATTATATATATATATATATATATATGAGTTAATCACTTATATATTGTCAGTGTAAAATTTTTTACACTGACAACCAATCATATATCTTAATAGTGTTGTCATTTGTTCATTTAATCAAATAAAAGTAAAATAAAATAATTTAAAAGATATGATTGGTTGTAGTATAAAAAACTTTATATACAAATGACCTAATTTAATAGTTTTGTGGCATATGTGTAGGTAAATAAGTTTGGAAATAATTTTATATTAGCAATTTTATTATATTTAATTAATATATTATCTAAAAGTATTAATTTTGCATTACATTTATTAAATATAATATTTAATAATATTATTTTAAACATTGAATTTACAAAAGCATTCAATTTAAAATAAACGATATTTGTATAATTTATATTTTAATTATTATTTTTAAGAGCAGAAAAGTAAAATAAAATGAATATTTTAATAAACTGAAGTATATCACTAAAAGATATAAAAAAAAAAAAAATAGAACAGAAGGTGGGATGATATTTTGAATTTGAAAGGTAACATGAAAGCATTTTGGGGCTCTCGAAAATAGAAATATTTATTTATAAATAGAGTAGAGGAGGAAAGGAAGAAGATATAGGAAGGGAAGGGAAAAGCGTAGCTGATTCTATTTCTAGTCGACTGTCATTTCCTTTTCTGTTGCCTTTCCAAGGTTTGGAACCGGCAAAACAAAACCATCAAAATCCTCAGGTTGGGTTCTGAGGATGGTTTCTGGATGGAGAAAGACGTTTCGCACATCCAACAATATGCCTCAAAACACATCGTTACCAGATAGCGATTATTACGATAACACGGATCCATGTCCCAGAATCACTTCCGATTTCTCACTCTTCTCCACCCCACCATCCATTCCGCACACCCTCCGTTGCCCAACCAATACCAAACGCACCACTCCCTCTCCCTCCTCCACCCTCTCTTTTCTCAAAGCCACCTTACACTTATCCAAAGTAAGCCACACTAGACTCTATCCTTTTAATTTAACACTTGATAATTAACTTTTTTATTTTGTGTGCAGCGCTCCTGTGGAATCTGCACGCACACTGTCAAATTCGGCCAAGGAAAAGCAATCTTCACAGCGGAGTGCTCTCACGTATTTCACTTCCCATGCATAGCAGCTCACGTGAGAAACCACCCAATCCTCACGTGCCCCGTCTGCAACGCCAACTGGAAACAACTGCAAAACGCACACCAAAACCCTGCGCACCACCTCAAAACGACCAAGTCGTTTAACTACAACGACGACGAGCCACTCATGTCGCCCACTTCAGTTTCGCGTTTCAACCCCATACCCGAATCCAACGAGAACGAAGAAGAAGAAGACGACGACGAAGAACAACCAAACGACCAACCAATAAGCTTCCGTGTCTCACCATCGCTCAAAACCAGAAACATCGAAGCCTGCTTCTCGCCGGAAGCTGCAATTGTCGCCTCCAACCGAAGCTCCGAGACCTACGTTGCGCTCTTCAAGGTCAAGGCGCCGCCGCGTTCCGCGCCGCCGAATCGTCCTCCGGTGGACCTCGTCACGGTGCTCGACCTCAGCGGGAACGCCTCCAGCGAAGAGCTTCGTATGCTGAAACGCTCCATGCAAGTCGTGATCTCGTCGCTCGGCTCCGCCGACCGTCTCTCCGTCGTCGCATTCTCCGGCGGCTCTAAGCGGCTGTTTCCGCTCAGGAGAATGACCGGCCGCGGACAAACCGCGGCGCGGCGCGTCGTCGACGCGCTGACGGAGCTCCGTCACGACGGAGCTCCGGCGAGGAACGACGCGCTGAAGAAAGCGGCGAAGGTTCTGGAAGACCGACGGCAGAATAACACCATCGCCAAAATCATCCTCCTCACGAACAACCACGAGGATCAGCGGTTATCCTCCACGCGCTTCCCCGTTCATTCTCTGAGAATCTCCCTCGATGGCGCGTGTGACCACGCGCACCGCGAAAGCGAGTTGGCGAAGCGCGTGGGGAATTTGTTGAGCGTGGTGGCGCAAGACTTCAGGGTAGAACTAAAACTCGCGTCGCGCTCGGCCCCGGCGGAGATCGCCGCCGTGTATTCTTTATCCAAGAGTTTCACCGCCGCTCTCTCGCCAGATTCCGCCGCTTTGGGCGATCTCCACGCGGCAGAGGAGAGAGAATTGCTGTTGGAATTTAAAGTGCCAGGTGGCACAGCGTCGCGTGGGTCCCAATCCCAGTCCCAGTCCCACCATCATTTTATATCCGTACGTTGTTCCCACCGCGACCCCTTCACTCAAGAGCTTGTGAATTCGAAGGAGCGTGAACTAATCGTTCCGCGACCCCACACGGTGCGATCGTGTGACCGGTTGAGGCGGTGCCACGTCAGCGCTCGAGCCGTGGCCGAGTCGAGACGGCTCGTGGCTCGCAACAATGTGTGTGGCGCGGTTCAGTTGCTGTCATCGGCTCGAGCCTTGGTGAGCCGCGAACAGGGTGATGAGTGTTTGCAATGGCTGGAAGCCGAGCTGAGGAGCCAAAAGCTAAGAAGTGGCAGTAATTGGATGGAGGATAAGGGCGAGCCGCTTACGCCCATGTCGGCTTGGAGAGTAGCTGAGAGATTGGCTAAAGTGGCTATCATGAGAAAGTCCATGAATAGAGTGAGCGACTTACATGGCTTCGAAGACGCCAGATTTTAAATGTATTCCCCCCCCTTTTCAATTTATCTCTTATTTTTCTAGTTTGTAAAGGGAGAAAATAAAGTATTAATAAAAATCTTGTTTTCCTATTTATGATTTAATTGCAAAAGTAATAAATGTATTTGAATGAAGAAAATATATGAGAAATTAAACTGATGATAAATGGTAAAAAAATTTGACAGCATATGATATATGGTAAATAGAAGGAGGGATATGGCCACACTAGATGCATGATGCCTTTAAAATAACGACGCATAATAGGGACAAGCAGTACTTGACGGCTAGGCTCTTTCTTGCGTGCAAAATGAAGAGACTGTGATAGTGGAGTGAGATTGGGTGTGCAGAGAATTTAAATAATAAATCAAATCAAATCAACTTATTGGAATTATATATTTGTTTTCAAATGTAACTATTATTATATATTTTATATATTATATTAAGGGTATTTAAGAATTGAATTTTAAAATAATTTAAATTAAACTGATCTATTTTATAAGATAGATTAGTTTAATTTGTTAAAGTATGAATCAATTTTTTTAAATTAGAACGATGCATTGTGTTTATTCATTTTATATGAATCAGTTTTTAAAAAAAAATCGAGACTTTTTTGTAAAAATGAATCAATTTCATAAAGTAGATTGATTTAATTTTTTCAAAATAAATCAAATTTTTTTAATATAGATGGAATGGATTAATTTAAAATTGATTTGGATTTTTTTCACAAAAAATGTTAAAGAAACTAGAGTTAAGCAGGCACTAGTGTTTTTTTTTTGTATGAATGCATGAGCTGTTAGGAAAGCCAGATGGTAGGTCTTGTTTCAGACTTAAGACAAAGGACGATGTGAAGTACTAAGGAATTTTTTTGGCATTTCATGGCATTGGTGTTTGAGCTTTGAAATTGTTTTTAAGAAGGGATTTTTGTTGACACCTCATCAAGAATTTTACACCCGTTTGAAGATCTTATCTTCAAAACTTTGGTGGGTGGTATATTCATGTGTAGCGCACTAGGCAGTGGGGTTTTGTTTCCATGGTGCCAAACAAGAGCTTCAAAAATGCGAAGTGATGGGAAGCAACTAAAATTATGATGAGAGAGACTATCCCACCAATTACAAGTATTTATTCATTTTTCCATCGTCCTTACAAATTAAAAGTACAAGGCAATATGGGTGCATGTTCTCTCCCCCCCTTCTTTTCATTATGCACATTTTTTTATGATAAAGTTTTATTTCAAAGTGTGCGTACTTGTATGATGAGATTCATGTAATTGTACCCTATCTTTTATTGGAACTGCTTATCTGGTTATCGTATTTCATAGTGTCACGTGTCGGCTCTTTATGAAGAAAAGGGTGTGTATGTAATACAAACAAATCTTAAGACGGTGCGTCAAATCATCAATTGCAATGTGCCTTTCACTTTGCTTTCTGTCAGCAACCAAATTATGTGCAGTTTTTGGGATCCCAGCTAATTAACTTATCAGCCAGATCCAAACCAAGCACTCAATGATGAAAATACCAGCAAGTTTTCTAAAAAAATATATACATACATAAGGAAGATAATTTTTTTATTATTTTTTATTTAGTAAATATTCTCACTTGAGATTGGATCGGTGACGAACTCTCTTATGAGATTGGTGAGCCTCCATTAGTTCACAGGTTGTCCGCTCCAAGATGGGAGTAGTACTTGCAAAAGAGACTCTGATGCTAAAGTTAGTACTTGATAGTGTAGATGTCTCGTATATATAGCAGACATACTTTGGTGATATTAGGATTTTTACTGTGTACCGGCACATTGGCATTTTTAGGGTTTTACCTTGTGATTGCGGTGCGGTGACAAGATTGTATTTTTATCTATTTGATGACGTGACCTCTTTGGACCGATGTGGTGTTCCGATGTCCATGTTTCACGGCCGAACTGAGGAACTCGGTAATAATGAATTTACTACTTGGTCAGACTGGTAAACCTTTGACCGAGTAGGCAACTTGGTGAGGGACAAGTCAGCAACTCGGCTGGCCAGTACACTTGCCCCCAAGCACCAAGTGATGTAAGAGCGAAGGGACTTCTGAGTAACTCCCAAATTTACTGTTTAGTCAGATTGGTAGGCCTTTGACTGAGTCTTAATCAGGCTGGTATATCTTTAACCGAGTAAGCAGCTTGGTGAGGGTCAAGTCCGCAACTCCGTAAGCCAATACAGTAAAGAAGTATAAATTTTTCTTTATCGGATAGATGTCATATTTTTCACATTCAAATGTTTAATTTTTATTAGATGGGTTTTGTTCTCAACAAGAATAGTCTTGGTGTTAACGTGTTCGGACAAGATCTCCTTTTCAATTAATCCTATTAATCCTATTGTCTGGGGATATAATATCTTCTCTTCTTCAATTGGGTACCTACAAAAAATAATTTTGATGTTTAAGTTGGTTCATGTTTTTTCTAGTACTTTTTAATGTTTATATTACATACTTTTTTTAGATTGGACTATTTTACCTGTAGATAAAGTATTTTTCGCAATTTATGTACTGTAGATATTGTAATTGAATTTATCTTTTGTACTACTAAATTTTTTAGCCAATATGGTATGTCAATATCATTATTATCAAGCATGTCATATAAATGTTGTACGGGACAATGCCCTTGGCCCATAAGTTTGGACTCGGCACCTTTGACACTCGAGTGTGCTAGACAAAGCTCTCGGCCAATCGATTCGGGGGCCTCGGTACCTGAGGAACGTTTAACGTCACTACATGACACCAACGCATTCGACACCTTTGACACCCGAGTGTGCTAGACAAAGCTCTCGGCCAATCGGTTCGGCGGCCTCGGTACCTGAGGAACGTTTAACGTCACTACATGACACCAACGCACCTTAAATTGAAAAGGGAGTACTAGTAATAAGCACATTAACCAGCTTCAACCATAAATTAACAGTTAATTGCGAATATAAAGTAAGTTACAGACGTATTACCTAATTTGGTAACCCTAATGCGGGCCCATCAGGCACAAGGCCCATTAATGTCGGTATAAATAGTCCACATTTCGAGGTAATGTCACTGTTCATTTTAATTACTATCGATATCTGCGTCTGTTCTGACTTGAGCGTCGGAGTACCTTTTGCAGGTACCCTCCCTCTCACCGGAATATTCGATTGGAGCTCTCGTTCGGCCCTTAGAGTACGAGAAGTTTACTAGTATGCCTTTCAGACAGGTACAAATGTCATTAGGATATTTCACATCTTCGATCAAACTTGTTGGCTATCGGCTAGATTAATACAGGTCTCATTAAAAATAAAATAATATTTTTAGTTGAGTATATATTTAAAAGATTAATTTTTATCAATAACATATAATAAAAATTAACAAGCGATTCATATTAGTGATATTAAGAATCTTCTTAAATTTCACTTCTAGTCACCTTACAATTTTATTTTAAATTTTGTATTAGTGAATCTAAATTCTCACATTCATTAATAAGAGACCTCAACGTTCAACCTCGTATGATTTGGCAAAACTTGACTAAAAGCTATCTTAATGCGCTCCATAATTGGTCCCTTGGATTCTTAATATGAATCATTATATTAAAAAATATGTTACTTTTACGCCTTATCTTGAAGTATGACCAATGTAGAAAAATTGCATCTCAACATCAACATCCTTGTCTCTCTCTCAACCCAAAATCTTATCTTTTGATACTATAATGTAAGCACCTTAATGTCAAGGACCTGCTTAACATCTTCATCATTGCTCTAGTTTCGTAGTATTCGATCATACGCTACTATTATAGTCCTTAAATATCTTATTAGAAATTTGAAAAACGAAACAGAAAAGAGTAAATGAGTAAGACCATAACTTGTTTCGTCAATGATGAGGTGAGACTAGGGATAACAATGAACGCTTGGGCGGTGGTAGATATTTGTTCTCGTTTTACTGGATAAAAAATTTGTTTCATATTCACTTTATATTTATGCGGATATTTATTAAGTGATTATTCCTTAATTTATAAGTATATGTGAATATTTATGAATATTAGATAATATTTGTGAATTTTTAAAAAATTATAAGTGAATTTAAACTTATATTAATATTAATTATATTAAAATATTAAAGATAAATAATTGATATTATTTTTAATTTATATTTAATGTTAATTTTATTAAAATAATATAAAAAAATACAAGATAAGCAAAAGGTTATTTAAGTATATGTAATTGAAGTTCATTTTTATGATATTGTCATAGTTGCTAATATCCCATTAATGAACGTTAGAAAAATATCTGCATCTATCATTTGTGAAAATTTATTTATTATTTGTAACAAATTTATCTATAGAAACTAATGAATTCAGATTTTCTTTTACATCTTAGGTGAAACCCATTTCAAATGCACTAGAATTTCAAGTTATGACTTCAGTCATGTTTGTAGAAAGATGTGAGAGGAAAAAAGAAAAGAAAAAAAAAAGAACAAAAGTGTTTTAGGAAGATATGAAGGCTTAAATCCATGTGAAAGAGAGAAAGGGAATGATAATTAACGTTGAGCCTAAAAATTTATTATCTTTTGGGACCCGTTTTCTTCACTTTTGGGGCTACACTTAGGAATTCCTTAATTTACTCAACTAAAGTGGCGTTTATAAATGGTTGCCTTTACTTGCTACTTTTCAATTGTGCATCTCAAAAGAGGAATTATAATATGAAAATCCCGATAAAGGTACATCATTTGCTTGCATCTAAGCATAAATGTTTCACAAGGAGGATGGTCCAAATAAATGGTTTTGGGAGCATAAATGTATACAAGATGAATGTTTCCACATCGCCCCAACTAACGATAAGTTCGAATGAAATTTTTACCATAATTGGTTAGACATTTGTCATGGTGTAATTGTGCAATGGACTCACCTCATGAAAGGGGTGAATTTACATAGAAACACAACTCTTATATATGCTGATTTTTGAAATATTCTAAATAAATGCGTGTTTGGTTAGAATTTTCGGACACATTAGACCCATGTTAATTTGGAAGTAGCTCTCACTAGTTTCACGTTTTAGTGAAGTTGTTGTGTTAAAAATTGGAATGTACATTCATTATTTACATGGATCCAATCACACAATGTGTGTATGTTTACTTTAACATCATGTTTGTCTCTATCCACATTATGCAAAAGCAAACTACTGTAATTTCTGCATATTCTGAGTTGTTTGACTTGATTTTTCTAGTGGATGTGGTTTATGTAATATACTCTAAATGTATGTCTGTTTGTAACAGATTCAGAAATTTTAATGTGTCAAGTCAATACTTATATAATATAAATTAATATTTTAATACGTGATAAAATTTATTCTTATACAATCAAAATTTTAAAATATTTTTAATATTTAAATTATATAATAATTAAAATTCATAATAAATAAATATATTTAAATATATAAAATAAAATTTGAATTTACAATCAATGGTTTAAGTTTTGATATAAAATTACTTTTATTTATTGATATTTGAAAAAAAAATATTAAAATTTCAATTAAAAAATGGAGATAATATATAGTAGAGTAAAAGGTTAGATAATTAAAAAGTTTATTTATATACATGAAGATAAAATGAATATAGTTTGACATAATTTAGATAGAATTTGTTTAGTTAGTTGCAAAAAATTTATATTCAAAGAAAATAAGAGAAATAACTCACTTTTATATATTAAACATGAATCACTATCTCGCATAATAGTATTTTATTGAAAGTTTTTTCAATGAAATTTTTTTAAAGAATTATTTTAACTACATATCTAATAGGATTTTTATTTATTATAATTATTTATGAATTAAATTTAAGTGAGAGAATGAAAATAATCAAACTAAAATAAATTAGTAGGAAAAATATTTATATTATAGTTTATAAATTAATTTTTTTTACCACATTTCAAATTATAAAGAAAGTTTACAATTATAAATGTGTATAATTATAAATGTGTATAATGTAGATAAATTTAGGCTAAGTTGTACTTTTAGTTTCTCTATTTTCATCAATCTACAATTTTAGTCCTATTATTTTTAAAATAGAGATATTTAGTCTTTCTAATTAAAAAAATATAGAACTTTGGTCCTTCATCAAATTGACATCTACTAATTGAGTTTCAATATTTTTTTATACTTAAGTGATGAGATATTTAGTATCATAACATTTAGAAATAATTTCTTTTAAAAAACATGCGAATAAAATTTTATTAATAAAATAAATGTCAATTACTAGTAAAAATAGGTACATACAAAAATATTTTGTATGTTATTTTTCAATTTGTATCTTTATATGTCATCACCAAATACCACATCACTTAAGTGATAATAGGTAATCAAACAACGCCAAAAATTTAATGATTAGGGAACACCAAATTTACAGTAAAATTGAAATTTTGTATTTTTAAAATTAGAAGACTAAATATCTCTATTGACATCGCCATGGTCCTTATGTGTCTTCATGGTTGATTTGATTCCACTAGAATAAATCCTCACAATACTTGAATCTCATATTTCCCTCAAATCTTATTCCTCTAGTGTAGGTCTTCTCAATTCACAAATCTTAAGTCTCATTTTGTCTTAAGAATCGCATATCCTCAACTTCAATTCTTAATGTCTTAAGTATACAAATATAGATTTGTTCTTACCATAAGTTCGCTGTCATCGTTAGGGTCACCGCATCCGAGGTATTGTCCGCTTTGCCTCGTTAGGCCGTCACAGTTTTGTTCTTTAAAAGGCACCTCGGTAGGTTAAAGAGGGAGGATGTTTATAAATTACCCTTAGTCTCGACTCTTAAGCGATGTGAGACTTTTAAGCATAACGAAACAAGCCCCCTAGTCGATGCTAAGGGGCAAGAGTGGCCTAGGCCCTCTTTTTAGCACCAAATGTTCTTACCATAAGTCTGCTATCATCGTTAGGGTCACCGTATCCAACGTATTGTCCGCTTTGGCTCGTTGGGTCGTCACGGTTTTGTCCTTTAAAAGGCGTCTCGGTAGGTTAAGGAGGGAGGGTGTTTATAAACTACCCTTAGCCTCGATTCTAAGCGATGTGAGACTTTTAAGCATAACGGAACAAGATCAATTTTGCAAATATGTTTCATAAGCATTTCTCATGCTTAGCGCACAAAGCCTCTCACATAGCGAGGAGAGGTTAGAGAGCAAGGATTGATCTTTAGCACTCACGCATCAAACTAATGTCACTCACTGTGGTTTTCTCACTTAACATTCAAATATGTTATACTCTTTATGGGTCATGCACTTAATGAGAATTGAGTTTCATTTAGCCCCAAAATAAGTTAGGTCTATGTAGTTTTTAGGCTAAAAAAGAATGGGACCTTTCTTAATACATAATAAGGGGTCAATCTCTACGCCTTCTACACTTAGCATGATGACTCTCACACTAGCTATCAAACTATAGGTGCTCTCCATGACTATTGTACTTAGCAATCGGTTGGTCTCACTTAGCGCCAAAAGCTCAAAGAACAACCTAACCCCTCTAAGAGTGTCACACTTAGCAAGAATAGGATATTGCTTAACTCCTAAAAAGAATCACTCTCTATGGCTCACATGCATAGTGTGAGAATATTTAACATGAAGACTCTCACACATAGTATCAAATTATAGGGTAACTTTTATAGTTATTGCATTTAACAAGAGGTTGGTGTCATTTATCGAAGAGGTTAGAGAACAATCCTACCCTCTAAGAATCTCACGCTTAGCGAGGAGTCTCTTCACTTAATACATACTTTAGATTTGCAATTGTTTAAGTTTTATGAAAGAAAAAAAAAACATTTAACAATTGTCTAATTGTTTGTATTCAATACAAAACTCCAATTACGTTTTTAACCCAACTAAGTACAGGTATAAAACATATAAACAATCCAATTAAATATCAACAATCTCAAGCACCAAAATATTTTTTTTAGTCTATGGATCGATCATGGCTCAAAATTTGTGTCGTAACAATGACGCTACGTGGTTTACTTGCTACTCTTTTGGAGAGCATGACGATAAAACTATATTAACAATACTACAATCTTAAGTAGACCTGTAAACATGCCCATAAGATCTTAATTATGCTCTTACTAAATACAAATCCAGCTAAAATAACAAGAATGAAAGTCTCTGTTTGATACTCCGTGTTAGAACTTTGCAATGCTCACAATAATGTATGTTATAATCCTTATGCATTTACCCAACTCCTAGGCCCATCCTAGTAAAGTGTTAAAACAGCGAGAAACTTTCGCAGTAACGTGAAAGAAGTTAATCATTTCTTCTTAAATGACTGCAAAATTGAACACACTGATAGTTGGAATAAAAGTGATTATTAGAAGTACTTCTTAGGGGGACAGAAAAGAAAATTCTACCCTTGTTTTCACATGTTTTGAATCTTGACAGTGATAACTTCGCATGTAAAAAGTAAAATGGAAGCGTGTAGGCGTGTAAAAAGTAGGAATCGTTGTAGTTCAAGCCATCGACCCATTGGGAAAGGCAATTCCACTTATGGCGTATCAAAGCTTATTCAAATGATCTCTGGTCATATCCAAATTAAAAAGAATTTCTATTTACAACAAATTTATGAAACAGACAAGACATCACAACTAGGCATGGGCTTTCGCAAACGCCATACACGGTTTACACCTATTGCTACCACATGATTCAAGTTTATACATGAGTTTCATACAAATTCATCAACATCAAAAGTATAGCTGCCTGCATTGTGCTGCATCAATATCATAGGGACAATAAGGACACTTAAACACTTTGGTGCTATTCTTGGACATCTTCAAGATAGATTGCTTACAGAGGACATGACCACAGGTCATCAACATCGGGGGGTTATCCTCAGTTGCTTGTTCCTTTGAGACGGGACAAACAAAAACAGAATGGAACTGGAACTCACGGTCCAACTCAACCGGCACAGGCAACTGGTTCATAGACTGCCATTCATGCTTCCTCCCAGCCATTACATTCATAAATTTGAGAAGAGGTGGCAAAACCTGAACCCCTGCTGCAACGGTCACGCTCAATGGACTATTGTAAGACTGACCCAAAAGATTGCAGAACTGCTTTTTAAGTTCCTCAGCCAGCTTGTCCCAGTTAGATGGGGATAGTAATGCATGGTAGGGACACCGATCAAGCTTTCCAGTCCATAGAAGACATCCCATAAGCTTCTGAATATCAGCCATGTGACTGGAAGCAAAAGGAGAAAGGTGCGTTCGAGCATAATGAAGAGCATCATCTCTACTTCCAATTTGAAGAATTTTCACAAATTGCATGGAGTGAAGTTTCAACACAATATCAGATCCACTTTGAGCAAGTTTGTCGCAATTAGCCGCAGCCCAGATGAGTGCCGGCTCAAGGTTCTGATTCTGAATTGCTTCAAGTATTTGATACATTTCCAGGAATGGAGATTTCATGATGGCAGCAGATTCAGACTCTCCAACCACACTCATAAAATGGTCCCCTATCTCAAAAAGGCCCTGGCGATAAAAATGGTTGGCAATTATTTGGTTTAATGTATGTATATCAATGTCAATATTTCTGTAAGCCTTGGATATATCAGGGTTGAAATATTTCTCAAGAAATTTCCCATACTTGCTGAGTGCTACATTTAGCTCCTTCTGTGTACCTTCCATTTGACTAACCGGAGCAATTTTAAGTAAACTGGCCTTAAGCTCATTCAGAACAGTTTTATAATCAAGTCCATGGTCAGCGTTCTTCACTGACTGCATTGTGTCTAAAACACACTCAATTTCCTGTCTGATCTGATCAATTGCTTCTTGGGTCTTGGAACAAGATAATTTCTGCTTCTTAGTAACACGATCAAAAGCATCTTTAATAGTACTCAGCTCCATAGCGAGTATTAACTGTATCTACAACTTGTAATGCCTTAAAGCTAAGACGTAATGCACCTGGCCACCTGCAAAGGTTCATAGTGTTAATACAATAATCTTTTAAGAACAACCATGCAAACTAATGGTACCACAATTTGTTATTCTTTTATTCTTAAAAAAAAAAAACACAAAAGAAAACTGCATTGAGAGAGAGAGAGAGACAGGGAATAAAATGCAGAAGAAATAAGAATCCTCCAAAAACATAAAGTATACTACAATAAAGGAAAACTGCACATGTTTCCAATAAAAGAAAACAGGGTAGGGAACTCACATCTTTGTTAACTTATTATGATTTTTTTAAAATAATATACAGTCAGATACAAATTATGGAACAATTGTTAAAGATAATGTCATACAAGTACAGGTGTGTTTGCTTTGGTATGAAAAGAATGAATACTTTATTGCCCCAGAATCCATAATCATAATACATATCCCCCCCCCCCTCTCTCTCTTCCATGGCATCCCCCCAATACATCCATACGAACAATGCCTTGAAAACAAAGCCATTAACTAATTGAGAATTTTATTAATGGCATCTATAATTATTATTATAAGATAGAAGGCATAAACCTCAAGAACAATGACTAGCAAAGGACTTGAAGCAGCAAATAAAAGTCATTCATATTTATCATATTTACACCTTACTAACTGAGGTTGATCTTTTCAAATATATGAACAATAAAAAATGCCAAATTGCCATTAAAGAGACTCCACTCACATAGGGAAACAAAAGTTCAGGTGTAGACAACAATAATTCAAGTACAAATTAAATTAGAATTAAGGTCTATTTGAATAAACTTCTTTATAAGAACTAGTAGAAGAAAACAAGAAAAAATGAAATAAGTTTCTGCACAAACTAAAACTAACTTATGCATAAGTTTAAAATAAGATTTTTGGAGAAGCTAATATAAGAGAAATTCTACAAGTTATCTAATGCATAAGTTAATTTTAACTTATGGAAAAACTTATTTTATTTTTCCTTCCTATTTTTTTTTTTCTCCTAGAAATGTTTGTGGAGAAGTTTATTGAAACAGACCCTTGGGATATGATAAGCAAATTCTTTCACTTTGGTTAGATGATAGATACCTAAGCCCTTTTAACAAGACTTTACAAAGAATATGCGCTCAAAGATTAGCCAAACAACCAATTAGAATTTGGGGGCAAGGGAGAGGTTGTAATTTATCAGTTTAGGCAAGCATATGCCTCTATCTAGAAGCAAAAAAAAAATTCCAAAGTCTGCATCACGTTTCACAAAAACATTCTCAGAATTATTCGTGACATCAACCAAAGTGTCTATAAACCAACAGAGCCTATGGGGCCTTAAAGTTAGTTCCATCAATATCTAACATAAGAATGTATATCCATTATAAATTGAAGAGAACATATTGAAGATCCACAAGAAGCTGAATCAAGAAACAACCACTATGTAAATCAAATCCATAACAAATTAGAGTTAGATTGGTTCCTTTCCCATCACAGGACCATCCTTTTAGAGAGAAAGACAAATACCAAGCTCTCCACATTCCTTCTCAGTTCCCTAATTTGAAATCAAAGTTCAACACAGCATAAATACCAATATTTTCAACTTAAGCTCAAAAAAAAAAAAAAAAAAAAAAAAGATCGTGCTAACAGACACATAATAAGAAAAGATAGCGTTTAAAATAACAAATTCCACAAAGCTAATAAAACCATTTCTTATCAATCGAGTTAATCATGCGACACCAAGCCAACATTGATAAACAGTAGTTAATTATGATGAAGAAATAAAAATAAATAAATAAATCTGGGAAAACAGAAGGGTAAGGTTTTGCATAATCCAATTGCTGGAAAATAGAAAAAAAAAAAAAAAAGAGAAGCTTACTGAAAATGGAGGGAACAGATCTGCGGAGTGGATTAGGGCAAAGAGAAAAGAAGGGAGAGAAAGGGATGATTGGTTTGTGTGTGAAGATGGGAAGTGGTACGATGGAAAAGGTTACGTGTCCTTCATCCAGGGACTCACTCTCTAGCCCACTTTACCTACCCAAGCCCAATTTCTTCTTCAACCAAACGTTACCACAACTCCACAACATTCATAAGAGACAATGTATTGTGGATCTCACTAGGCAAGTTTTTTTTCACACCCCCAATTTATTATTTAAAACCTTCATCTTTGACTGAAAAAAAAACATTCATCTTTTAAATATTTTTTTATTTTTTTATTTCAAGAAAATTATTGTGAAGTTTAATACTCTCCACGACATTATAGAATTTTATTTTAGTTGTGTTTCTAGGTTTTAGTACATAACAAAAATTGTTTTTATTTTTTACAAATGAAGTGTTAATTAGGAGAAATGTTATTGATATTCTCTTTGATAGATTGTTTGACTTAAGGAGGGGGATAAATTTTTTCATATTTGATTGACAGAAAGAATAAATGAATTTTAAAATCTAATTTATCTTGGAGAAAATATCATTTTGACCCTTGAAAGTTTATAATGATGGCATTTTTAAAAGAATAAAATATTTCAAAAAATATCCCTCAAAGTGATAATTGTCGATTTCTTTTTAACGAGGTTCGTTAAATGTAACATTCGTGCTTACATGACATGTTAAGAGCCTAATTGGCAGATTCATGACACATATGGTTGCCAACTATGATGACTAATGAGAAGGGGCTAAAATGGAAATATTATACTATATAGAACTAAAACGAAAGCTAAAACTTCAACTTCCTATCTCTATTTTTCAAAGCTTTTGTTTGCATATTTGACAACAACCTCATCCACTATTTGTCACGTTGAAGACGAACTCGTTGGAAAATGTACCGAAGCCAACTTCAACTTCTCCATGAGCAATGACGATACATTACATCCATGGACAATGTTGAAAAGTATTGTAGCAACAAACATTTCATTCACATCTCTTTCGAGTAGTGGGCACATAAATTTAAGTTATCATGAAGCTTCAACACAATGTTCATTTTCTCAATATATCTTCATAGTTCTTTTTTAAAACTCCCATTATCTAAGGTTGTTGTGATGACATGGAACTAAATTCATTAAAGCTAGGGTCATTGTTTACCCGATCAAACATTCCTTTCACTCATTATTATCTTTCTTATGAAATGTAGAAGCACCTTATTTCCATTGTTTGCACAAGCAAGCCCATCAATAGGTTAATCTAAAGGAGTTAAGAGGAAGGGACTAGGTTTGAAGGAAGTCTAAATTCATGTTGAGCTTTGGATCACTTTTAGTAGTCTACTTTCTATTATTTGCATATATTTTTCTTGTAAATATTTTCTTAATTTTGATCTTATATATTTGGGTCAAATAGTATAGGAATTAATTTTCTTATAATTTTCTTTAGTATTTAGTATTTGAAAAATGTGTTTATTGGACTTGTTTAGACCAAGAGAGGGTGGAGAGCATTTCTCCTTAAGTGGGACGCCCAAATTGGCTCCCCACTCTTTCATTGGTTCACACATCACCAACAAGTTACATGTTCCGCACACTAGTCACATTTTTTGCATGTTTGCTTCTACACTCTCTTTTATACTAATATATGAAAATTGAGTTTCTAAAATTCTCTCTTTAAAGTCTTGTCCTCACCTTGGAGAATTTTCTCCGTAAGAACTTTTATCAAGGAATTTCTCCTTATGGCAAGTTCATCCTTTCTTGTTTATCTTTCACTTGAAAGTGGCACACCATTCATTACTTTTCATCTTCCTTATTTGTTTCATTTCTGTGACATTTAAAGTCATGGATAGAGATTGAAGGAGTTAGGAAAAAAACTATGGAGAATTCGACTATCTTCTTCAAAGGTTTTTCCATTAAACCACACACCAATCAAAGAGTCATAAAGAAAATTTTGGTTTACAATAAGTTTGACATCAACATTATACACATAAGGTTAGAGAATAATGTTATTCTTTCCCTACATTACTTGCAACTATTCAATAAGATTTTCTTTTGATTTATTCTCCCTTACTCTCTTAGGTCTATGCATCCTAGGTTCCCTATGCTAGTAGTCATCCTTTTTTTCATTTTTTTTTTCTTTCACTCTTATGAGAGCTTAAAAACCCATCTCTTCCATGAGCTTATTTCTTTCTTCTTATCATTTCTCTTTCAAGCCCAAAAATATCTCTTTTTCTTCCTTTTATATCTTTTTCTCTTTTTTCCTCTTCCCCCGAAAGTTTTAATACCTCTAATTCTACCATTAAACTTGATAATTGAGGATTTGGCATTGAACTATAACTACTATTACTCTTATATAAGTGCTTACTTGATGAAACTATTAAGGAGATGCATAGTGAATCTTCTCAACTAGCTCCATTAAGGCTCCATGGATGAAGATAATATGATGAAACTATCAAGGACATGCATGGTGAATTTTCTCAAGTAACTCCATTGAGGCTCCAATCTTTATCCATGGAACTTCAAGCTTCACAAATGAATAAAAAATGGTGGAAAGGAAGAGAGTATGGTGTGCTACTCCTCTAAGAAGATAAGTAAGAGATGAAAAACTTTCCATGATGAGAAATTCTTTAATAAAAGTTCATAAGGAAAAAATCCTCTAAGAGATTTAAGAGCTTTTGAGTGAGAATTTTGGAAATCAAATTCTTATTCAACTCAAAAGTCACATCTAAAATGAGGGGAAAATAAATTTATAGAGTTTGATAGCTTGTGGTGCAAATTAAACTAATCATGGTTAAGTATAACCAATGTTAGGTTAACTTGTACTCAAGACTATCAACTCTAGTTACATTTTCAATTTTTAATTTCCTTCCTAAAAATATCGCTATCCTAGATTCTAAGAGTCAATGGTAACTGTAACGACCCACCCTAGGCCGTCACATCAATAACCAACCAAAATAAAATATATAAAATAAAGAAAATAGAGCAAAAGCCAGCTACGCTAGAGTGTAATTATACAATAACATATAAATTGTTTCCAAAATATATAATATAATCTGCTATAGCAGAGTCATCATCCTTAGTAAAGTTATACAGTAATCTAAAAGATAATATAATATAGACACCCTAGGTGCTGGTCAAGCTCTAAACCTTGCTACTACTCAAAGCAGCTATCAGAAGACTTCTTGTTATCCCAAGCCTCACACCTGATCTGCTCCCCCACAAAGTGAGATCATCACAGTCCAAACCACATGGAAAACATGCAAGGGTTAGCACATATAAAACCAACCATAGTACATGATAAAATATCATTAAACAGATATTTATCCATAATATATATATATATGCACCAAGGAAATAAACCTTATAAATAGTTATTTCCATGCCAAATATAAATCAAATCTAAAATCCAATGCATACAATCCACACCATTTGTATACATATTCCACATCCAGAAACAAAGTCACACCACTGTATAATTATTCCATGATCTCACACCAACATATCCTCACAATGTTGGCCTCAACACCATCCACCAAGTGTTGACACGCACGCTGAAACATATCAGCAATCCAGGAATCACACCTGACCTCTCATGGAAATATACAGCTGGAATTACGTCGTCACGTAACCCTGGTGATCATGGCCACTTCATCCATCGGTATGACTCGGCCTGGCCCCCATACCGGTAGCAAATAGAATACTTAAAGGAGTACTTCAGAATCCACCTAACATCTGAAGTGGTTTATCATATAACCTTTGGAAAAGTTCCACATTGGAATCCTCACCATGGGATTCCCAATTTCATATTTTTCCAAAGATTATATCCTGATCTCACCAAGAGATCTAATCCATACCATAACCTTACTCCTTTAAGTCCTATTTACTTTTCCAAACCACATACACAGCATATTCCATAATTAAACATAACCATAACCATGCCAATTTGTCAATATAATAATAATATAAATATCCAAAACAACCATCAATTGATCCAAATTATACTATATGAAATGAAAATCTCCACATAAAATAGCATATTAAAATTATACTATTCCTATCATGGTCATACGCACTAGATTAATTTTATAAGCACTACCCTTACTTAGCATACTAGATTAATTTTATAAATGCCACCCTTACTTATCATACTAGATTAATTTTATAAATGCCACCCTTACTTGTATAAACCTGAACTGAAACTCGGGCAGAACCTCCACCTCTCTCCTTAAACAAGAACCGAAACTCGGGCAGAATCTCCTCTACTGGATTCTTCTTTCTTTCTCTCCTCTTTCCTCTCTCTTTCTCCCTTTCTCTCTCTACTTTCTCTCTAAAACTTCACTCTTCAAGTTATGAATTTCCTTCAACCCCTAGCCCCTATTTATAGAAATTTTCGCCACCTAACCCAGAACGGCCCGTTCCGAAAACGGAACGGCCGTTCTGAATCCTTCAGAACAACGTAAAATTTTCGACTGGAACGGCCCCGGAACGGCCCGTTTCGAAACCCAGCAGAACGGCCCGTTCTCCTTTCGGAACGGCCCGTTCTGCAAGGAGAACGCCCTGTTCTCCAAGCAGAACGGCCCGTTCTGCAAGGGGAACGCCCCGTTCTCCAAGCAGAACGGCCCGTTCTCCTTTGGAGAACGGCCCGTTCCGGCCCTGTTCTGCACAAACCCAGAACACACATTTTTCTCTTTTGGAACGGCCCGTTCCGCTTTTGGAACAGCCCGTTCCAAAATCCGAAAATGCCCCAAAAATTTTAATAAAATTACGAAAATGCCACCGATAATTACTAAAATGCCATCCAATAATAAGATTACAAAAATACCCCTATACCTTTGAAAATTTACGAAAATGCCATAATAATAAAATGGGTATTACAATTCTCTCCAACAACAAAAATTTTCGTCCTCGAAAATTCACTTACTCTAAAAGAGATATGGGTATTGATCCTTCATCCTTTCCTCCAACTCCCAAGTAGCTTCATTAGTAATCTCATCCCAAATAACTTTCACCAAATTGATAGATTTACCTCGCAACTGTTTAACTTTCTTATCTGCCACTGAAACTGGCTGTTTCTCAAAAGTTAAATTTTCCTTAACTTGTACTGCCTCTGATTCCAAGACATGACTTGGATCGTGAATATATTTCCTCAGTTGTGAAACATGGAACACATCATGCAGATTAGAAAGGAATGGAGGTAATGC